CCTCCCCAACTGGTTCCTGCTCCTCCCCTGCTCTGTGCCTCCCCAACTCTCCCTTCTGATCTTTACCCTAGCTTGAGGAAAGGTCCCTCGCAACTCTGATCCCTACCTGGTGGAATTCCTTCAATACCCAGGTCAATAGTAGAGCAAGGTACAAACTGCAATTGAAAATTCAAGCCTCTCTCAAGCCCTGGCATTCTTCTATTTCGGGAAACTATTCCCAAATAAAGTCTAACCTTCTTAAGACCCTGCAAGACCTAGATAGCATTGAGGAATCACGCCCTATGTCCTCTTCTGATCTCCAAACCCAAACTAAACTTCATTACCTTGCCACCTTGAAAAAAGAAGAGATCTACTGGTACCAACGATCTAGAGTAAACTGGCTCAAAACAAGGGACCACAATACCCGCTTCTTCCAAAGGATTGCTAACTATCGAAGGAGGGACAATTCAATCTCAATCATCAAGGTTAACAACCTTTATTTAGACAAGCCGGAAGAGATTGAATCAGCAATCTTAAACTTTTTCATGAACCTATACTAAGTTCCTTGTGGTCCTAGACCAGCTATGGCTGACCTAGATTTTCTGACCCTCTCGGAAGAACAGACAACTTGATTAGAACGTCCATTCCTTGAAGTTGAAATCCTTATGGCTTTGGACGACCAAGCTAAAGACAAAGCCCCTGGGCCTAATGGATTTCCCGTGGCCCCTTTAAAGATCTTTTGGGATACCTTTCGCTCAAATTTCTTAAATTTCTTTACAAAGTTTTTCCAGTGGGGCATTCTTAACGAATTCATCAATGCCACATTCATCACGATGATCCCTACGATCGAAGGGAGGAACTTAAGGATTTTCATCCCATAAGTCTGCTCAGCTCCTCCTATAAGATTTTATCTAAGGTCCTGGCCTCTAGACTTTAGGAGGTCCTCCCGTCGGTCATCTCTCCCTCGCAATCGGCCTTTATCAAAAAAAGACAAATCCTTGATGGAGCTATGATTGCCAACGAATGCCTCCATTCCAAGCACCGAGTCAAAAAACCTGGTCTTATTTTTAAAATAGACCGGGAAAAAGCATAAGACCATGTAAACTGGTCGATACTGAATGAAACAATGGCTCGTATCAGCTTCCGACTCAGGTGGCGTAAATGGATAAGAGGGTGTTATTCCCACCCCAATTTTTCGATCCTCATAAATGGAACTCCCAAAGGTTACTTTCCCTCCTCGAGAGGTCTTTGCCAAGGGGACCCTCTATCCCCTTTCCTCTTAGCTATCTCGGCTGAGGTCTTCAGCCGTTCACTGAGTCACCTCTACCAAGCTGGCCGCCTTTCAGACTTTAAGTCCGCACGTCGAGGGCCTATTGTGTCACATATGCAATATGTAGATGACACACTGATCTTTCTAAATGTCTCCTCTCCCGAAGGGGAAAACCTTAGAATTTACCTCAAATGCTTCCAATTGGCCAATGGGTTCAAGGTTAATATGGAGAAATAACAAATGATGGGCATTGCTATCTCCAACAGCCAAACCAGGGAGCCCATTCCAGACTAGGCATGTAAAGTGGAAGACCTCCCTACTTCCTACTTGGGTCTTCCACTAGGTCTCGAAAAATCGAAAAGAGACATTGGTCCCATGTGATAGGTCGATAGAAGGTTGGCCGGTTGGAAAGATAGATACCTGTCACAAGCAGGTAGAACCACCCTTATCAAAGCTACTTTGGCCAATGCGCATGTATACATGATGTCTCTATTTTAAATAACAGCCTCTGTAGTAAACCGCCTTGATCAGCTCATGAGGACCTTTCTCTAGTCAAGGTAGGCTGAAAAAACTAAGTTCCATCTCATTTCCTAAGAGAAGGTACGTCTACCTAAGAACCAGAGTAGGCTAGGGATTAGAAACTTAAGAAAACAAAATCTCGCCCTCTTAGGGAAATGCGGGTGGCGCTTGGCCACCCAACCGAACACACTTTAGGCCCAGGTGTTGCGGATTAAGTACAATATTCCAGACCATACCTGGATCCCAGAGAAAAAGCCCAGGTCTAATGCTTCAGGTGTATGGAGGTCCTTTACTGCCACCCTTGAACTATTCAAGAAGCTTATCAGATTCTACCCAAGAGAAGGTAGTAGAGTGCGATTCTGGACTGACCTATTGGTAAGTCATGCCCCTTTGAGGGACTGCTATCCCTCTCTGCTCTACATTACCGTTAATAAAGAGGTGGCGTAAAGGACGAGTTCAGAATGGATGTAGGCAAAAGATAATGGCATCCATCTTTCAGAAGGAACCCTTCTGAGGGCAAATTTATTCAATTCCCGACTCTCTCCTCGCAGCTACACAATACCTTTATCCCTATCTTTGGTAGAGATAAATTGGTATGGTCCCCTGCTCCTTCAAGGGAGTTTACCATGGCTTCTTTTTATAAAAAGCATATCCAACCTCCTACTTTCCCCCTTAACACAACCTCGATTCTATCACAGGTTTGGCAGTCCATTGCACCTCCAAAGGTACAAACCTTCAATTGGATTGCAGGGTCCAACAAGGCCCTTACGGTGGAACACCTACAAAAGAAAGGAAACCCAATTCCCAAGAGGTGCTCCATGTGCCTGAGTCAAGAGGAATCCAACAACCACCTCTTTCTACATTGTAACGTGGCCCACGATCTATGGGGACTGTTGTTGCATTTGTTTCGAGTCCGTTGGGTAACACCTCCAACAGTAAAAGACCTTCTCGCTTTGAACATGGCCTCACACTGGCCAAAGGCCGGTAGAATCCTATGGAAAGCCATTGTACTGTGGCAGCAACAATTTGGACCATCTGGTAAGAAAGAAATGCCAAAATTTTTCGGGGACAGGCTGGTCTCGCCTCCAATCTATTCCACAATGTTACATCCTTAGTAACCTTCTAAGCATCAAAACCATCATTTTTTCTGTGGTATCCCAACAGACTCCTTCATACCACAGTGGGAGCATATTCTCCTCCACAAACCAAATAAAAAGAAAGTGATAAGGGCCTAGGAACCTCCCCTCAAGGAGCGATCAAGTTGAATTTTGATGGTTGCTCCTTGGGAAACCCAGGACATGCAAGAGCGGGAGCGGTCTTCAGAGATCACGTTCACAATGTACTATTTACCTTCTCTGAATATCTCTGCATCCGAGATTCACAATATGCTAAATCAATGGCTCTCCTCAAAGGTATACAAAATTTTAACCGATCTTGGGGACAATTACTATTTAGTGGAGGAAGACGCTAGAAACATTTTCTCATGGGCTTCTAGGATAGCTAGTCCCCCCTAGTATCTTGGGTCTATTTATGATGAGATTCATCATCTTTGCAGGGATATGCCCGTCTTATTGACGCATATCTCGCGAATGTCGAATGAATTCGAGGACCTGCTGACCAAGGAAGGAGCCAAGGCCTAGGTTGAACAATAGACCATACCACAATTGGATTCGTGTCGGCTACAGAACAAACTCATCTTTCTTGGCTTGGGATTTTTTGTGCTCTACTCTCCCTACTCTCTTTGTAGGTTTCCCGAATACTGTGTAAGGGGATAATTTTATAACCCCATTTTTCTCTCTACTTTCTTTTTACATTTCTTGTCTACTGTGTAAGGGGATTATTTTATAATTATTTTATAACCCTATTTTGTATAGGGTCGGATGACCTATTCTTTTTACCAAGAGTTCTGTGCACTTAAGGTACCACTGGATTTACCTTTAATATTTTGTATCTATCTCTTTTATCAATACAAAAGTTAACAGTTATCAAAAAACAAAAAAAACATACCAACAAACAACACATCACCATTTTGAAAAAAAAAAACAACACATCACCATTGTTATAACCAGAATTTCCACTCATTAACTCAATGATATAAAAAAAAAACTGTGATATTCAGTCAGAGGTGTAACCAAGATAGCATAGGAAATCTGGAATAATCATCAACGCGGCCAGTAAAACAGAGGGAAAAAAAAAAGGAAAAAAAAAAAATGTGCTGTCCATAGGTGGATAGTCATCATTGTAATTGGACAGTCTTCATGTACAATTCAGTAAATAAATAAATAAATCCAATGTTCTCTTAGGGAGCAATAAATACTTTTTGATCAAGTCTAAATCAAAGCAGGATCAGGTATAACAGCCAAACTTCAAAATCCACACAATTGTCTCAAGCATTAATTACTGCTTATTTTTATGGACTACAGACCATAATCAAGGAGAATGACATATTGAATTAAATAAGAAAATCTGAATTCCATCTGTGCTAACAAAACTGAATAATAATATCCACCCAAACAATGATGGCTTGGGAGTAAAATCACGATACACTAGAAGAAAGCGAAGCTCAGAACTTCCAATGACACATCAAACAACACAAAGATCATTATAAAAGATAATACCTCACTAAATCTCAAAAAATAATCATGTAAAGACAACAAATTTCGCCAAAATAGCAGCCCATAACAATTTTGGTATAGCTAAAAATAGTAAACATTTGAAACTGACTGCAAACACATTGAAAAGAAAAGATCTAATGCAAATCAGCAACTTCAGCTCAGAACTCAGGTACAAAGAAAACTGAATAGCAGCCACAGTATGTGCAACCACACAAAGGCATAACTACATAACACTATGCACATAAGACAAGCATAAGCTCAATGAGAATGATATCAGAATGGCTTGCAAACATAAAAGGGATTTGAGATTCAAGAAGAACTCTAAGGGAAACCCAACTATTCAAAATTCAAGGTAGTTCAAAGATCAGACCTGTCCGCAAGATAAAAATCCAGTGCAATCATAGTAAAACATCGAATCTTTACTGTAGTCTCCAATTCAGTTGATGCAAGGCGGGAACCCTCTGCTAGTGAGGGTATTAAAGTGCGAAGGGTTCCCGACCTGCACCAAGCGAGCTAGAGTAAGCAGTAAGAAGAAGCCCAAACTTTTGTATTGCATGTTTCTCTCTGGACCCTCAATCCATGGATAGCTCTTGAAAATGTTCATGAAAAACTCATTTTACACCACCACAGAAAATATCAAAGATCAACCATTTGATCTGGATCAAAACCAGAGCTATGAATGCATACACCAACCACAAATATGAAGTCATCCATCCATCAGCCTTTGATTGCTTTTGTGGAGAGAGGAGAAAGGTTTTTGGTCACTCATAGAGAAATAACAAAGGAATAATAATTCAGGTATTGCATGCAAAGTAAGATTTAATCATCCAATCCAGGTCTTTCACAGATCTGATCATCTGACCTAGGCTTTCTCTAAAATTTAGACAAGATAAATCGGCGCTTTCAGAGATCTAACAGACTAAGATTAGGGCTGATATCTGACCTAATAATCTGAGCTAGGGTTCACAAATCAGGCTCTAAAGACTCAGAAGAGAGCACGGCAGTGAGCTAGGGTTCTCACACACCATACTGACTCAGAAGAAAAGAATGATACTGAGCTAGGGTTTTCAGAGATCTATCAATCTACAATTCGGTTAGAATCTGATCTAACTATCTCAGCCATGGTTTTATTCAATCTACTCACATTTTCAGCCATTGTTTTCACCAAGTCACGCTCTAGAGAGAGCTAGGGTTTCAGAAATCGCACAGAGCTTAGATCTAAAACCCGACCAGTGAGAGACAGAAAAAGAAGCAGCTCCGCAGCAGAAACTACATACCTAATCACCAAAAACGAAAGGACGAGCATCAAGAGAATAAGAGATGAGACAGCGACTAAACCAGAAAGAGGAGAGAGAACAAAGAAGGAACCCAAAATGGAAATGGCAGGTGAGAGAAAGAAGAGGAAGAGACCAGAAACCCTATCGTCTCCCCAGACCACAAAAGACCGCAGGCTTCTCAGCTAAGTAACTGAGGTCTTCAAGGACCATTTATACTAGTGTCTTGTACGGACACTGTCACGTGGCAAGGGCCGCAAAGAGAATTCACGCTCGAGAGTTGGTGGCACGTGCGATGGTCATGGAACTCTTGTGACGAGATAACATCGGGAATCTGGACCGTCCAATTGGAGAGGGATGCTATGCGGCCGTAGAAGCTACCGACCATCCTGAACGGCTGAGATGCTTTCTTTTTTGATCTGACGGTAAATAATGATTTCGGCGATATTTCAGGGCCGCCTGCGTGGTTAGGCTCATCGCAAAGTCGTAAATTTCGGCGAAATTTTGGGGGCATTTAAGGGCTGGACGAAATTTGTGACTAAATTCCGGGAAAAGTTATTGGCGTGTTGAAAAATGGCAAAATACAAGTAAGAAATCAGATTGTACTTATCTCTACCAAATGCATGAACCTTTAGCCACACGGTTACATACAGACCAATAGTTTAAAAGAAATCAGAAAAGATTTTAAACGTGTAAACGTTTTGCTGAAATATTTAAAGACGCATGCCAAAAAACCTGTGAAATTTGTCGAAATCGAATCAATTTTATTGAAGTATGAGCACTTCTTGCTATATAATCCACCATTTTTTTATAGAAAAAAGCTGGGATTAGCCCACTAACTCATATAAATACACGAACTTAAAGTCCAGATTGAATCTGGGCTTATCTAACGATCACAGATGTCTTATATTATTTGAATTTTATTTATTTTTCTGTAAATCTAAATAGCTTGAAATTTTAGGTGTGTGTTCTTTTCATCAAGGCGAACCTAATAAAATATAAAACATTTATTTGCGAAAGAAATGATCAAAATACCCCCAAAACTTTTCGAAGGTATTTTGGTCAAATTATTTCATGTAAAATATTTTTTAATATTTTTCGAAGATTCACCTATTTTTGATAAACACATGTCTAAAATTTCAAATGATTTGGATTTATAAAAAAAAATTAAAATTCAAACGCTACTAGACATCCCTGATCGTCAGATCGGCCCAGATTCAATCTAAACCGTTTGACTTGTATATGAGCTAATGGGCTAACCCCAACTTTTTCCTTTCCTTTATGGGCAAGCTTTTTCATATGAGCACTTCTAACTATATAATTCACCGTTTTCCTTTATGGACAAGCTTTTTAATGCTTGTCCGACTACATAAAACTTACATACTTCTCTTTATCCAACTGTCCATTTTGAATGGATGATTGAGATGGCCCCAATCACAGTGCCACGTCTCTACACTATTTAATTTTTAATTTTTTTCTACAAAACATTTTGACACCAAATTTTAGTGTCCACTCCTCTCTTAAACCCGCACCTGTAAAAAATATATATAAAAAAATTCTCAATAAAATAAAATGATCAAAATACCGTTGAAAGTTTCAAAGGGTATTTTGATCATTATATTTTATCAAAAAATTCTTTTTAATATTTTTTTAGGTGCGCCCCATTGAGATTATGGCACGGACCAAATTTTATATTCATACAATTTGTAAATAAAAAACTAAAAAGAAAATACTTTGAGACGTCGGATCGAGATCAAACAATCAATAGCTCACTTGATCTAAATTAGATGGCTGAATGGGGGAAAGTATGTATCTTTTATACGGTAGGAGAAGTATAAAAACCTTTCTTTTTACTTAAAAGAAAATTTCAAGAGAAACCTATCTATCTTTTAGATATCATATTTATTTGTGAAGATTACAAGAAAAAGTTTATGTAAAATTGAATTAGGGTGCACATAAAAAATCTATCAGAAAATGCAATTTTGACACTGAAAAACTATCTAATTGATCATTTGGACATCGATATGTATAGATATGGGGAAAAGAAAAAGATTTTAAGTTCTAAAAATAATATATATTACAACACATTATCTGGACTGTCCATTTTGCATTTATCTGCTTAATTTGGACTATGTTTGGAGCTAGAAAATTTATAAAATTACATATGACAATATATTCTCGGGTCATCCTAAGAATTTTTGGTATCAAAATTGCATCTTACAACAAATTTTGGAAGCGTGCCTTACTTTGATTGTTTAATGTTGCAACCTTATGTAGACCAGCTTGAAAGTGTATTTTCATCTATAATTATAAATTTTAAAACTTCAAAAATGATTTAGATCAAGCATATCTATAAATATATAAAAATTTTGAAAAGGACGTTCCAAATAATGTGTTACAAAATGTACTATTTTTTAGACTTAAAATAGGTTTTTTCTCCATATCTGTATATCTCGAAGTTGAGAGAATCAAATAAATAGTCTTTCAATATCAAAATATCATTTTCCAATGGATTTTTGGGGTGCACCTTACTTATAAATTATGAGATTGAGACCCCTTATAACTTATATATTTGAATATATCAAACATTTAGGAGTTTAAATTAGTGAAAAATCACCCTCTCATTTTTTTCCTTTTTAACATTAGATTTTGATGGAATTTGGAAGATTTTGAAGTTTCAAAAAATCCAAATTGAAAGAAAATGCTACAATTTCCAAAATACATGGTCTTAAACAAATGCAAATTCAAGTATCCTACAACGGTGTTAAAAATTATGCGAGTATTGCATCGAATTTTGCCTTGAAGCTAAATAAATATTAAAGATTAATCTAAAATTGTTGATGTTGGGCTTGGGCCTAAACTAGTGGTGAACCAAATAAATGGGCTTGAGCACGGGGCCTAATGGTTAGGCTGCATGGGCCATCAACCTATTATTTTATGGTATATTACCTAACAATGCAAAGGATGCCATGCAAATTGTGATCCTAGTGGGAACTCACTTTCAATCATGGACTCCCCCTTGTAGAGTCGCATGTTCTCTTGTAGGGGTCACCTTTGCTTCAAAAGTCAATTCCCTCTCTCCATTACTTTCGAGGGTGATGCTTTTGCAGCTCCAATTATTGATGCTTTTTCTCCTTTCTATTAAAAAAGTTACTCATTATTTTTTCATAGAAGTATAGTAACTATCTACTTGATTTACGTCACCTTTACCCATATATTTAATATATAAAATTATATTTCTAACGAACAATAATGTCATTCTCACCATTCCAGCATTATGTAAGCTATTTGATGTCTGCTACGAGAATCCTATTCTACCATAGGTTCAGGATTCAGAAAAAGATAATGGCAAAGTTTTATACTAGTTGCAATACCTAATACAACCCTCTTCCATTACTAGCTTGGGACGGTTGTGCGTGTTATTTTTAACACTAATATTATTATCATCATTATTCGAGCATTATCCCAACTGTTTGGGATCAGCTAAGAGAATCATGTTCTGCCATAGGTTCAGGATTCATGAAATGGCATGAGAAAGTTTTATACTGGTTGCCTACCTAACACAACCCTTTTCTGTTACCCAGGCTTGAACCGGCATGGGGCCGGCTAAAATAAAGTCACTTTTTATAATGGATGTAGTTTGTATAAGGCCGAGGTCCTAAACAATCAAAATAAGGCACATCTAAAAATAGTATCAAAAGATGTCATTTCAGCACTAAAAAATCTTTATCATAGCCTGAAAATTTATTTTTATCTCTAATTATAAAATTTAAAGCTTCAAAAATAGTGTAGATTAAGTATATCTATGAACACTTGAAAATTTGATGGTCTATGTAACGCATTACAATATGCATTATTTCCAAAACTTGAAATCTAGTTTTTTTTTTATGTATATCTCAACGTCAAGGTTATCAAATTTGAGGGTTTTTAGTCACCGAAAAACTTTTTCTAGTGAATTTTTGAGTTGCACCTTAGTTTGATTGTTTAGGGCTTCAATCTCAAATTAAACTTTTTCCGTTTATAGATAATATGATACCCGTAAAAGAACAACTCAATTTATGGGATATGGATTACATGTGTCCTTATCATTGCCATTCTAATGCAAAGAAAAATATGGGGCCTATCCATGAGTTTATTCTTTTATTTTTATTTTTTAAAATTTTTATCTAAAGATTACATAATCATGAGTTATATAAGGTGACAACCTTCCTAGAAGAAGTAGGATGCAATAATCTATACGTCCATCCAAAAACCGATTGAGTTTCCACATTCGGGAGCCCAAAGTCCATTCCTAGAGGAAACAAACATTTCTCTTCATTCACACCAAAAAACATAAAGGTTATGCCAAGCAAACTACAGCTCAAAAGCCGTAATATCTTTGGCTCAAAACATTATAATACACCTCGCCTTGAGTTAAAATAGTTTATTTCTATTTCTATTTTTATAAATATGTAAACATATTAAATAGAGGATTCATTAAATATATATTCCCTTAAAATAGAATATGTTTTTAAATCTTACAAAAAAAAATCACAAATAGCTTGACATGTGGCCCACATTACCAATGGACCTAGTGAGGGTGACCAACCAGCTCTTAACTGTGAAACACAAGGCGCATGCCACGTGTGCTGACGTTGAATCCTTATTATTGTATTTTTATTTTTAAATAGAGAAAATAAATTACATATGTAGGTTTCTACTTTTTTACTAATGGGAAAAAAAGTCACAAAATTCACAATTCCCTATTCCTCTTCTTGACTTTGAGTTTAGCACATAGGAGAGAGATACCACCATGCACAAATGGTATACAAAACAATGTACAACCATTTGACCACAAATGAGCCCTAAATGGTTAATGGAGGTGCATTGTACTTTTGAGGAAGTGCAATTGAATGGGATTAGCACATTTCCACCATTGGTCGATAGATGGGAGTGTGAAACCTCTGGTGTACTATATACAATACACCATTGGTGTACACTAATATGTAGGGGTTGCACTTAGTGCCATGTTATGCCAGGTTATGATCTTGACAGGAAATCCTTTGAGAATGGGTCATGGCCTTTGCGGTAGTACCATTGAGCCCGGTGATGATATCTCGCACTCCATTGTCACCAAAGGGTAGGGACCAAAATCCCCACTGACTAACCCTTTTGATGGGAAATCCTTGACC